TGCGCCCACGACGAACAAACAGCGACGGGTCGGCGGAAGACGGCTCAAACCCGAGGTCGGACAGAGTAGAGCGGAGAGTGTCGTGCCACTCACGGGGTGCCTGGCGGAGACCGTAGACCGGTCGTCTGAGGCTCCACTGGGTGCCAGGCGGGAAGGTGCCAGTGAAGCCCGGAGGACGACGCAGCCAGATCTCCTTGTGTAGACTGCCCTGGAGGAAGCCAGTGGAGAAGTCAAGAGAGTGTAGCTCGTAGTCTCTCTGCGCTGCTACGTGAAGTAACACCCGAAGAGTGGTCATCTTCGGGGTGGGCGCGAAGGTCTGAAAGAAGTCAACCCCCTCGCGCTGACTGAACCCTCTAGTCACGTAGCGTGCCTTGAAGACTGGGGGAGATCCCGGCGGCCGCTTCACCTTGAAGATCCACATGTTGTCAACTATGTTCGCCCCTGGGGGGGGGGAACCTCGTCAACGTAAGTGCCTGTGGACCTGTAGGAGGCCATCTCTGCGTCCATGGCAGCTCTCCACTGAGAGGCCCAAGGCCCTGACACTGCCTCAGCGTAAGTGCGAGGAGTAGGTATGTCAGGAGCGTCGGGGTCTCCCTCAGGAGCGAGGAGCATGGCGCAGAGATGAGGCGAAGCAGCTGCCAGGAACTCTAGCTCAAACTGTCTGTCCTCTAGGACGTCACAGCCAAAGGCAGACTCACCCCCGGCGGACAGAGGACGGACAGGAGGAGCGGCCACAACACGAGTGGCGTAATCAAGGCGACGCGTGGCAGTAAAGTCAGTGACAGCGGCAGTGAGGACCGTGACGGAAGAAGGAGAGGCACGAGGATCTGTAACAAGAGAGGCGAGAACACGAGAGAGAGTAGGGCGGTACGTGCGGTAGTAGTCAGTGACCGGAGTGGACAGGGAGGCAGTGAGAGACGACTCAGGAGGACGAGGAAGAACAGACGGAGGATGACTAGGACGAAACAACACGGTACGAAGGTCAGTGACAGGTGACGAAGGACGAGCATGAGGGGGACGAGAGGTCCAAGTGTGGGCAAGAGGAGAGGGAGACGGAGGAGACAGAGAACGAGGGAACACAGCCGGAGCTGAGTCCGAAGGAGGAAACGTAGGACCGAACACAGGAGGAGAGGAGGGGAGACCAAGGGCCCGAAGGCCAGAAACAGGGGCCGGAGGCTGCTCCGGCTGCTGCGGCTGCGGCTGTTGCTGCTGCTGCTCCCACTGCAACTCCAACCTCTCACGCTCCACCCGCTGCTGAACCTCCGACCTCTAACGCTCCAAACGCTGCTGCTCCTCACGCTCTAGACAAAGAAGGGCCTGGTAACGAGTCGGGTAGGGGTGAGGAGGAGGAGTGGTGTCAGGAGGCGCAGCAGAAGAACTGGCTCTGTCCTCGACAGTACCCGGCTGAGCACCCCCAGAGCGAGTACCTCCCGCGGCAGCACGACCAGTACCTGTAGGAGGTGTACCCGCACCCCCAGTCGTGGTGCCTCCAGTGGCACCAGCACCAGCCCCAGACTCTCCGGCTCCAGAAACACCACCAGCTCCAGCACCACCACCAGCTACAGTACCCTCGGAACGGGCAGCTGCGGTAGGTGCACGCTCAGCGCCAACGCCAACACCCCCAGAACTGGCTCCTCCTGTAGGTGCACGAACAGCTCCAACGCCAGCACCCCCAGAGCGAGCACCGCCAGAGCCCTCACCTCGAGCACCAACACCCTCAGAGGCCGCAGTGGCCGGTAAAGGAAGCGCTGACGGCTGCTGCGGAGGCGGTGAGGACGACTGTGGGGAAGGAGGAGAGACCTGGGGGGGTACCAAGGGGGGGGGGGGTAGCGTGGGACACACCAGACGGAGCGGGAATAGGGGGGGGTACCGGAGGAGTAGGGGCGGGAGGAGGAGGAGCTGGAGCCAGGAAGAGGGGAGGGGGGGGAACCGAGAGACCTCGACAGGGGTACCGGACGTAGTAGGGGACGGACTCGTCGAAGCGGACATCACGAGAGTCAAAGAACCGGTGGGAGGGAGGTTGGTAAAAGGTGAAGTCAGAGGAGCCCTAAGGGAAACCAAGGAAAACACAGGGGACAGCGCGAGGCGAGATCTTGTCCGCAGAGGTGTCGCGGACAAGAGCCAAGCAGCCCCATACACTAAACCTCGACGCAACACCAGGGGACCCTGTCCAAAGACTGGTCGGTGAAGCCCCTGGCCGAGAGACGCAAGGCCAGAGGTTCAGCTAGTGAGCGGCGTACCGAGCCACGTAGGGCCACAGAAAATGGGGCGCGTGGGCGTGGATCATGGAGGTGCGGGCGATCTCCATGACCAGGCATAAGCGGCGCTCAGCAACCCCATTCTGCTGCGGAGAGTCTGGAAGAGTTTAGGACAGGGTGATGCCCTGCTCAGCACAGAATCCGGCGAGAATGCCGGAGCGAAACTCACCCCCACGGTCGGAGTGAAGACAACAGGCACGACGACCGCGAGTGCCCTCGGTGGCGAGGAGCCACCGGATCAGCGTAGAAGTCACGTCGGACTTCTTTGCCAAAGGGAACACGGTGGTGTACCGAGAGTAGTCGTCAACGACCACCAGAAAGAAACTCTCATGCGCAGGGCCAAGGCGGGGAGCGGGGCCCCAGACGTCTAAGTGGAGAGTCTCAAAGGGCTCGGTGGCCGGACGAAGGGAGGAGGAGTGAGGGTCGGCGCGCAGCCGACCGTGGACACAAGGACCGAACGGAGGAGCTGGGGACGGCGGGAGTGGCGGGAGGACTCGGAGGAGGCCTAAGACAAGACGCTGACTGGACATAGCGCGGAGACGAGGGAGGGAAGGGTGACCAAGGCGGTGGTGCCAGAGGAGGGAGGGGTGGGCAAGCGATCGACACGAGCATGACGCAGCAACTACACCTAACATAGCAACCTGACTGGACGCGGCTACCTGGTGGGACGGGGGAACCTGACGGGGGTCGGTGCGGAGAGTGTACAGACCGGAGCCCGGCTCCTGGCGAAAAGTGGCCAAGGCAGCGTACGTGTCACCGTCCACACAGACCGCGGTTTCACCAAAAGGCTCAACCTAGACCCCGACGTGCTGTCTCGCCAGGGTGCCCACACCAACCAGGTTCCTAGAGAACGTAGGAACGTGGAGGCCAGTCAGGGAACCGGAAGGGGCAGCTGGGCACGGGAGTGTAGTGGCGCGAGTCGCAATGACCGGTCCCGAAGAGGGATCGGCCAGTGCTACAGGGACAGGCGCCGGTAGCGGAGAGAGAGTCGTGCAGTCACGGAAGAAGCACTGTGACGCTCCGGAGTCCAGTGTGAAGGAGAGAGAGGCGTTCGCCGAGGGAGTGCCTGTACTAGTAGCTAAACAAGATCCTACACTAGCACCTACTCTAGCAAAAGGCAAAGATCCTAAGCTAGGTACAGGCAAGTACACAGATCCAGGAGCACTATAGTCAACATCAGCATACATGGCATATGACCTAGCATCATCCATAGTCATATCAAAAACAGCAATACCACGAGCAAGAAGTGTCCCCCAGCGTGGCGGCGGGGGAGCGGAGGTGCCGTGGTGCAAGCGGTAGAGGTCGTCGAGACGACTGAAGCAGCGTGCAGCAGAGTGGTCGGGGCGGCCACAGTACGAGTCCCGATGAGGACCCATAAGGATCCAGTACTCACAGGGACCAACGTCGCGGCCGGCCGAGCGAGGTCCCCGACTAGAGGGGGCCCCACTGCGCCCAGTGCTCGGAGGACCCGCAGACCTCCACTGCTGCTGAGGGCCCCACTGCTGCAGAGGGCCCCAATGCTGCGGAGGGCCCCACTGCTGAGGCTGCTGCTGTGGCGGGCGCTGCTGATGGCCCTGTCGCTGCTGCTGCTGTCCCTGCCGCCGCTGCTGTCCAGGCGGTGGCAGCTGCTGAGGAGTCGGCTGCTGCGTCTGCTGGGACCCCTCACCACCAGTGAAAACTCCACCGTCGAAAGGAGGGCCGTCAGGTCTCGAGCCACCCCCACCACCACTCCCACCACCTGCTCCACCGCCACCGCCACTACCCGCACCACCTCCAGTACCCCCGCCGCCCTTCCCGCCCCTCTTACCAGCCTTGCCACGTTTCTGCCTGCCAGAGACAGACACAGCCGCCGTCTTCTCAGAGGCAGAAGACGTAGGGGTGGCAAGTGAGGCAGAGAATGTGGGAAGCTGTGGTACTGCACACCCCTCAAAAAGACGAGGAGGAGGCGCAGAAGAGGCAGAGGCAACAGTGAGGAGGTTACTCTTGATCTTCAAGAGAGCAGTCTCAAGAAGATCGATGGTAAGCTCAGTGGGGTGCTTCAGAAGAAGCGCGTCGCGGGCTGTGGCTAGGCGGTCAGAGAGGCGAGTGACTAGCCAGTGAATAGTGAGCCACATAGGGGGTGGGGCAAGGGCAAGCTGGTCCTCAGTGCAAGCAGCTCGAAAGCGAGCATCAAGTGAGCGCAGGTGAATAGCGAGGTCAGAGACAGTCTCAAAGGAGGCGAGGTCAGGGTAGATAAAGGGTACGAGGAGGCGACTGAGTGAAGCAGAGGAGGGAATGGAGTAGCGAGCAACAATAGCCTTATACAGATCTGCAGCAGACTCGACCTGAGCGAAGTGGACTGCCTCTGTCGGCGGGAGAAGGTCGGTCAGGGCGAGGCAGGCAACGGCGTCACGAGACTCCCACACGTCGCGAGTGAGGAGCTGGCGCTGGTAGTCGGCCTCCTGCTCAGAAGTAGGCGGTGGGGTAGTGGGCAGCGGCTGAGGCCGCGGAGGGGCGGTCTGAGTGCCGGACGCGTGTGCGAACAGGTGCACGCCATCCTGCCGCTGGCTGTTAAGGTGGCGCTGCGCCTGCGTAAGCCATGTACTAAAGTCAATCGGTCTCCCTTTAGGGTCAAATCAAAGTACTCGGGAGGTCGCCATAGGGGGCGAAACTGAAAGAGCGCGGCTGCCAGCCGCGGGAGGGGGAGACAGTCAGTGGCGTGTGGGCAAGCGCGCAGGCGTGCAGGTGGGCAGGCGGCGCGGCATGCGGACAGGCGGGCGGCGCGGCGCGCTGGCTGGCGGGCGGCGCGGCGCGCTGGCTGGCGGGCGGCGCGCTGGCTGGCTGGCGGGCGGCGCGGCACGCTGGCTGGCGGGCGGGCGGCGCGGTGCACTGGCGTGGCGCGCTGGAGTGCGCGCCGGCGTGGCGCGCTGGCGTGCGCGCTGGCGTGACGCGCTGGCGGGCGCGCTGGCGTGCGCGCTGGCGAGGCGCGCTGGCGTGCGCGCTGGCGGGGCGCGCTGGCGTGACGCGCTGGCGGGCGCGCTGGCGTGCGCGCTGGCGGGGCGCGCTGGCGTGCGCGCTGGCGTGACGCGCTAACGGGTGCGCTGGCGTGACGCGCTTGCGGGCGCGCTAGCGTGCACGCTGGCGGGGCGCGCTGGCGTGCGGATTGGCGGGCGCGCTGGCGTGCGCGCTGGCGTGACGCGCTGCCGGGCGCGCTGGCGTGCGCGCTGGCGGGGCGCGCTGGCGTGCGCACTGGCGGGCACGCTGGCGTGCGCGCTGGCGTGCGCGCTGGCGTGACGCGCTGCCGGGCGCGCTGGCGTGCGCACTGGCGGGGCGCGCTGGCATGCGCGCTGGCGGGGCGCGCTGGCGTGCGCGCTGGCGTGACGCGCTGGCGGGCGCGCTGGCGTGCGCGCTGGCGGGGCGCGCTGGCGTGCGCGCTGGCGGGGCGCGCTGGCGTGCGCGCTGGTGGGGCGCGCTGGCGTGCGCGCTGGCGTGCGCGTTGGCGGGCCTTCTGGCTAGGGCACTGGCGGGCCTGCTGGCTAGCGTGCTTAGGGCAGACGGGGGGGGGGGGGGGGGCACGCCAAGGCTAGGGACGGCCGAAGTCTAGGAACGGCGGAGACTAAGTGTGGCCTAGGAACGGCGAACCTACTGCTGATACCATCTTAGAAACTAAACACAGTGGAATGAGCTGGATTGATTGGGTTGGGGTACAAATGCCTAACCCTAACTGTTTGTACCCCATATAGCATGACCCACTAGAGGCTATAACATTTGACAAGTTCCACTAGCAAAAATCGATTGAACAAGAATATGGTACAAGAAAGGAGAACCAAATAGCAAAGACAACGAACCCTGTAGAAACGTTCCTCGACAAGCACCTGAATCTGTCGAGTCAGCAACGGCAGGTGAAACGACAAACACATGCATATTTCACTTGAGTTGGTAGTTTCTCAGGTTTACAACGTTCATAGTTGTGCACGTATTTACTGTTAGTAAAAACGTGTGTCAGGTTCAGTTTCCTTACTGATTCAAAATCTCCTGGGGAGTACAATTTCCGAAATTTGTTGTTTCGCAATTGGGCGAAATCCGCGTACATTGCGAATGTTGGAGCTGAGTAATTCTGGTCGACCAAAATCACTCTGCTCGACGAAACACTTGTCGAACTAAATTCTGTCGACCAGCAATCCGTCGGAACACCAATTCTGCCACTCCCGTCTATCCGAAAGGCTCGTCTTTGACGCCGTTTTACTCCCGTCCACGAGCTTCTTTTAGACGAGGACTTTGATTGAGCAGAGAAAGCACTTCTACCTCGACCAATTAATCTCGTCGACAAATGACTCGTCGCACACAGATAAAAGTCCCCGACGTCGCCGATGACCACGAAACGAACACCGTTCTGTTCCGAAATGCTGGTCGACTTCGCCCAAGCGAGGGCGGGGCCTTTTCTCTTCGACAAAAAGTACATTGAGCGAAGGCATAAGCGAAAGATATATAGCGAAGCTAGCGTGGTAACGGTAATGCATGAAAAATGGGTGCGCTACAAGCCTAGCGCTGAGGCTGGGAATTGTCAAGGCGAAGGTCCGGAGCGCGGGTTAACAACCGAGCCGCGGGGTTGGGTCGCGTTGTGAACAGTGCCAGGAACAGTAGTCGAGGCGAGTGTCGTAAATAACAATGGTGCACTGTTGAGGGCTGTTGGCGGGAACAGTCGTGTATGCGCTAAGCAGTGACGCGGAGTACGGAAAAGGAATTTTCCTTACACTACCCCTCCCCCCCCCCTCCCCCACCCCCCTAAGGAGGCACCCCTTATGAAAGCGCGTGTACATCCCAGAAACTACGGCTGCGCAGGTTCTCGTTGAGGATGGGGTGATTTTCAATTCTGTCTAGGGGTAACCAGTTGTCTTTAGTCAGCGTGCCGTCTTTCTAGTGGATCAGACATTCGATTCTACGAGCTTCTTGTGGATCACAAACTCGGTGGCTTAGGATTTTCTTGGGTGTGATGATTGGCTCGGTGGGTGGTCATGTCATGCTGGCTGGGCGGTTGCAGGGCAGTTGGCTTGTAGATACTACGTAGGGGCGAATCAGGCTGGCGTGGAATGACGGGCTGACGTACCAGTCAGCAGGGAGGAGGAGATGGGCGGTGATGGAGATGATCATGTGGCTGATGCGAAATGGCCCGCAATATCGAGGGCGGAGTTTTGGGGTGATGGGCAGGCGGAGGTTTTGAGTGTCGAGCAGAACGAGGTCGTCGGGCTGGTAAAGGACGGGACGGCGGTGGCGGTCGCCGTTGTGTTTAGCGATGATATTTGATGCATTAACTGTGTCTGCTGCCGGGCTCCATACTGCCTGTAGGTTTTATGCGACTGTTGCTCGCGTGATACTGGGTTGTCGGGATTCGGGGTCATGGGTACTATGGGATCTTGTCCGTACTTCAGGTAGAACGGTGACTTTTGGATCGTGGTAGATGGCGAATTGTCGTATGCAAATTCGATGAGTGGCAGCTGCTGTTCGCACGTGGTTGGATCGTCACACGTGGCTCGGATTTACTGCTCCATGGTTTAGTTTGTCCGTTTTGTCTATCCGTTCGTTTCAGGGTGATACAATGAACTGAACAGTAGTCGCGTTCCGAACTGCTGCTGGTATCCCGTGCAGTCGAACGACGGTGGCGATGAAGACCCGAGCTATTTCGTCTCTCGGTTGCTAGTGATTGCTGCTGGTATCCCGTGCAGTCGAACGACGGTGGCGATGAAGACCCGAGCTATTTCTTCGGGTGAGATTGATTTCTTACATGCTGCCGTGTTTTTTCTATTTCGAAGTGACATGAGATAACGCCATTGTATGCATCCTGCAGTAATAGCTCATTCAGTAAGGTGTGGCCTTGTACCCAGATGCGATTGGTGCCAAATTTTACATAATAAACCCCCTTTGCTGCTGCGAACTGCTGCGAATTTCCACCTGTGAAGAACGGGTCTTTTTGATAGCCGTGGGTGAATAGTCCTGTCAGTAGCAGGCTGGTCTGGGCGAGTAGTATAGCATGTAGCTGGGTAGTGGGGCGGGTCAGTGTGTCGGCGATGTTCGATGCCCATATTTTGTAGGTGACCGTGTAATGAAAGTTGGACTCGAGGAAGTCGAGCCAACGAACCCATCGTGGGTGGAGGTGGGGCTGTGCGTGAAGGTACTGTAGTGATTTGTGGTCTGTCCGTACCGCGTGCGTTACACCCTGCCCGTCGCGCGCGCGTTACGCCCTGCCCGTCGCGCGCGCATTACGCCCTGCCCGTCCCACCCATCCGTGCGCGTTACGCCATGCCCGTCCGCGCACACTTCGCCCTGCCTGTCCGCGCCTGTTGCGCCTTCCCCATCGCGCAACCTACGCCCTGCCCATCCGTCACACCCCCTGCACCCAACCCGTCCGCGCCTGCCGCGCGCGTCCCCGCCCGTCACGCCCCCTGCGCCCTGCCCGTCAGCGCCTACCGCGCCCTGCCTGTTGCCCCCGTTGCGCCCTGCTAGTCCAGTCGCTCCGCGCTTGCTCTTTCAGCCGCGCCGTGCTCATCCTGTTGCGTCCCTCACTTAAAGTTTCCTACTGCACTGCTTGCGGCGTCCTACTCCGGCTTTCTATGCACTTTTCCTGTGTCATTTCTTCACGCTTCCAATATGGCGACACCTAGAGTCCTCCGCTTGGACGCTGAGGGTAGGTTGCTTGAGTGGATCCTGCATGCGAAGCGTCTCCTAGAGAGTCAGGTTCAGGGAGACCAAATCCAGTGACCTCCGTGCACCACCAAATCCTGATTCCTTAGGCGCTGACCCCACCTGTGATGACAAAGATCGTGTTGCACATCAGCGTGCTGCGCTGACGGCCTAGAAGTCGCGTGACGTTGTGGCTTGCATCGCCCTCAGCAGCCTCCTCCCTGAGTATGAGGAAACCCATTTCACCCAGGTTCGCACGGCTAGTGAGTTCTTGACTGTGATCAAGGCCCGCTACACTACTCCCACTACTGTCTCTCTTGGTCGCCGGGTCCTCCCTTTCCTGTTTCCTGAACTCGCTTCGTTTGAGCACCCTGCTGACTTGACCGCTCATCTGCGTTCACTGGATTCTAGCTACTGCGCTGCCTGCATTGGTGCACAGCTTGCATTGCTCTTCCCCACACATGGTGATCATTATCTATTTCATCGCCACTAGTCTTTCTGACCACCTTGCCTCGGTTCGTGACACGCTTCTTCTGAGCTCACTATCGACGTCCTTGAGTCTGCCCTCAAGGACGTCGAGAGCAACCTCCGCTTGGTAGCCTCTGCCTTTGGCGCTGTGTCACCCCCACTGTTCCAGGAGTGCACTGTCCCTTTGCTACCCACCTTTACTGCCTCCCTCGCCACTGCTACTACTGACGTAACCGCAATTGCTGTTACGACTTCTGCGCAGTCTAGGGCTCGAAGTGTCAGGAAAGGCGGCCAGGGTGCGGGCGGCAGCGGAGACGACGGAGGTGGCGTTGCGGGTGGCGGTGCCAGAAGTGCTGGAGTTGGTGCAACGCCTGGTGCCGCGTCGAGTGACTCCCCTATTAATGCTGGTGTAGGTGCCGCTCGGGTTAGTCGGGCACCTGTGAGACTGCCAGCTGCAGGTGTTGGAGTGGCGGCTTGGTACCTGGCTCAGCGACTGCGGCAGCAGCAGCAGCTACTCCTATCGTAGCGGCCACAGTAGCAGCAGGGGTCAGCATCGTCCAGACAAGTACCCGCAGCGCTTCCGCTTTGACCGCCACCACACACCGGGTCAGTGCTTTGCTCAGCTCACTGACACTCTTCGAGCGGCCTACGGCATCGACGGCCCTGCCCCTGATTAGCTTCCTCTTGTTCACTCGCACGCTGCCACTCTGTGAGCCATGTCTGCTTCTCAGTTGCTTCATCTCTTAGGAACTCTTCATGCCATGTATGTTGTTGTTGACAATAATGCTTCTGAGTCTGTTTACTCACGTGTTTTTAGCTTAGGTGCTAGTGATGATGCTGTGCCAGTTGCTAGTGTAGGTTCTTGCTTAGGTACTAGTCCAAGTCCTACTCCGGAAAACGCTTCACTGATTTTCACCTTGGACTCGCACTGTTTCTTTCACGTCCACACGACTCTTACTTCGCTTCCTGTTATGTGTCACAATAGGCTCCAATGTGCCTAGAACCAAGGATAGAATGCACAGTCGGATTTCTGTACAGCGGCTTCAAACATTCATAGCGATATGATCACAGCTCCAAATGACCTCATTCAACTTGGATCTGGAGCGCCTTAACGTGGCCTACAATAGGCACGATTTCATCAAGAATTGACGACACAGCGTCGGTTTGAACGAACGGCACTATGGCAGCAACATAGTCTTAGGACACACAATTATGAAGAACTAGAAAGAGTTAGCAAGAGTTGTGAAGGGTTACGAGTTGGGAATGCCTCCCAGCTCCTACAAACCCCAAGAGCCGAGGTACAGTGATGGGGAACAGTGCCACACTGTCCCCAACCAAGAAGGGTCTCGAAACTACCCTTCACAAGGGCCTACACCAACTGAAATGTTACACTACACATTGTAATGTAACAATCTTTAATATCTTGAGGTGTACCCATTTG